CCTTCATACATACAGAGACCCCCATCGTACACACAAGAACCCCCATCGTACACACAGGGGCCCCCCATTGTACACACAGGACCTCGCTCTCCCGGGTGATCAGGTCATTTACCCTTTCCTCCCCGGCACCCCTTCTATATCAGGGTAATCTTCTATGATAAGATTTGTATAATGACATTCCGAGCCTGATGACGGGGACCCTGCGAGGCCCGGAAAGTACTTGCAATTGAATGCCAATTTTTGCCATTAAAATGGACATTTGCTGAACACAAATAGATTGGTGTGCTGGTGACATATTTTTGAATTTGCGTACTGTTCACGGCGCCCAACCGTGGTCACTCCAAGCACCCACCTGTATTTATCACAGAAATCCGCTAAGGAGCGCAGCAACATATATCTATTTTTTTGCAAGATTTTTATAATGACACTAAATTCCAGTCTGTGGTACGCGGTGGGCGGAGTCATTTACACAGGAAATAAAGGCGGAGTTTATTTATTCATAATAAACCAAAGTTCATTCATCTGAAATCAGCCCAAATCCACCCAGAAGTCACAGCTGGTTCCTGATTGGAGAGATTTCCTCTCACTTCCTGTCCTCGGATGTCCCGGGGACAGGAAGACACTGAGCGTTAAATCAGGACACCTAACCCTATGACAGGAAGGACATGACAGGAAGGAAGGGAGGGATATATGACAGGAAGGAAGAGAATTATATATGAGAGGAAGGAAGGGAAGGATGTATCACAGGAAGGAAGGGAGGGATATATGACAGGAAGGAAGGGAAGCATATATGACAGGAAGGAATGATATATGACAGGAAGGAAGGGAAGGATACATTACAGGAAGGAAGGGAGGGATATATGACAGGAAGCAATGATATATGACAGGAAGGAAGGGAAGGATATATGACAGGAAGGAAGGGAAGCATATATGACAGGAAGGAACGATATATGACAGGAAGGAAGGGAAGGATACATTACAGGAAGGAAGGGAGGGATATATGACAGGAAGCAATGATATATGACAGGAAGGAAGGGAAGCATATATGACAGGAAGGAATGATATATGACAGGAAGGAAGGGAAGGATACATTACAGGAAGGAAGGGAGGGATATATGACAGGAAGGAATGATATATGACAGGAAGGAAGGGAAGGATATATGACAGGAAGGAAGGGAAGGATATATGACAGGAAGGAATGACATATGACAGGAAGGAAGGGAAGGATATATGAGAGGAAGGAAGGGAAGGATATATGAGAGGAAGGAAGGGAAGGATATATGACAGGAAGGAAGGGAAGGATACATGACAGGAAGGAAGGGAGGGATATATGACAGGAAGCAATGATATATGACAGGAAGGAAGGGAGCGATATATGACAGGAAGGAAGGGAAGGATATATGACAGGAAGGAATGACATATGACAGGAAGGAAGGGAAGGATACATGACAGGAAGGAAGGGAAGGATACATTACAGGAAGGAAGGGAGGGATATATGACAGGAAGCAATGATATATGACAGGAAGGAAGGGAAGGATATATGACAGGAAGGAAGGGAAGGCTCTGATTGGACAGATGGGAATATCCTGCACACATGGACGGGGGGGGGCTTCCCTCCATACATTGGTCTCACATGCTGATCCTCTGGAGGTCTCGTATTGTCAGGGAATTTCCCGCTTTCAGGCCGTACAGCCATACTGCGGGGAAGATCGGGCTCTGGAGGGGGAGGGGGAAGGAATGGATGCGGGTCGGGCCGTCCTCTGAGATGGAATAGAATTTCAGCTCCTTTTCCGGGCAGTCGAGAAGAACGCCGACATTGAGGGGTCTCGGGAGGAGGACGGGGACCCCCTGATCGTTGTGCCAGGCACACAGCTGATCCTTGTTCCATTCCACACACCAGGAGAAGGCGTTCCGTCCAAGTTTCCCGTCTCTTCCCATTTGGGCAGCGGCGGCGCCCACCCCCCACCCATCGCTGTCCTTTGTGCTGAATTCCCAGTAGTGGCAATCGCTGGAGAATTCGGGGACGGCCAGGACCTGGCTTGCGCTAAACCTGCGTCCGCTCTTCTCATACGCTTTGATCTTGTTAGTCACCGTCACCGTCTTCAGGTCCTCCGAGAGGGACAGACGGTTGTTGACTGTCTGCGGGTCGAATGAAATGTGAGTGGCCCCTGAAAAGACATGGATTGATGATAGTATAGGGCCCGGCATAGGAAGGGCTAACATAAAAGGTCAAAGCAGAGGACCTGGAGCCGCCATCTACACTGAGCCGACACTCATTATGGCTGCCTGTCCGCTTCATTCCAGGAGGTAGCACCCCAACCCGTACAGGCAGGGCCGCCATTAGAGATCTTGGGGTCCCCTACACCTTACCTGACAGGGCCCCCTTCCTGACACAGTGAGATGCTGCATCGTGCTGTAATGTGCAGGAAGAATAGTGCAGGGGGTGCAGAGGTGAGCAGTGTAGGAAGAGGGATGCAGGGGGTGCAGAGGTGACCTGCGTAGGAAGAGGGATGCAGGGCGTGCAGAGGTGAGCAGTGTAGGAAGAGGGATGCAGGGGGTGCAGAGGAGAGCTGCGTAGGAAGAGGGATGCAGGGGGTGCAGAGGAGAGCAGCGTAGGAAGAGGGGTGCAGAGGTGAGCAGTGTAGGAAGAGGGATGCAGGGGGTACAAAGGTGAGCAGTGTAGGAAGAGGGATGCAGGGGGTGCAGAGGTGAGCAGTGTAGGAAGAGGGATGCAGGGGGTGCAGAGGTGAGCAGTGTAGGAAGAGGGATGCAGGGGGTGCAGAGGTGAGCAGTGTAGGAAGAGGGATGCAGGGGGTGCAGAGGTGAGCAGTGTAGGAAGAGGGATGCAGGGGGTGCAGAGGTGAGCAGTGTAGGAAGAGGGATGCAGGGGGTGCAGAGGTGAGCAGTGTAGGAAGAGGGATGCAGGGGGTGCAGAGGTGAGCAGTGTAGGAAGAGGGATGCAGGGGGTGCAGAGGTGAGCAGTGTAGGAAGAGGGATGCAGGGGGTGCAGAGGTGAGCAGTGTAGGAAGAGGGATGCAGGGGGTGCAGAGGTGAGCAGTGTAGGAAGAGGGATGCAGGGGGTGCAGAGGTGAGCAGTGTAGGAAGAGGGATGCAGGGAGTGCAGAGGTGAGGTGAGCTGCGTAGGAAGAGGGATGCAGAGGTGAGCAGTATAGGAAGAGGGATGCAGGGGGTGCAGAGGTGAGCTGCGAAGGAAGAGGGATGCAGGGGGTGCAGAGGTGAGCAGCATAGGAAGAGGGATGC